ACCAGAAGGCAAACATTTCACAGTTACTGCCTTAGTTCCTACAGAATAAAAATTGGGGCATATAAGGGTAGGTGGAGAAGGGTGAAATATATAAATACCTATAAGATTTGCAAAGCAGTGGAGATTGCAACAGCTGCATGTGCTTTACACAGTATTTGCATTTTGCATAAAGGCACCTAGAGTAAAGACTTTTTTTTAATTGGCCTGGACAGAACCTCGGAAAGAAATATAAATCAGGCTGGAGTAGAAGATAGGGGTAAAATAGAAGCAAAGCGGAAAAGAAATACAATTGCAGACACTTTATTCTTAATTAATAAATAAAAAACATTCGATTATTGTTTTTCGTTTCAATTTATTTATCTCTACTTTCATTTTAATTTTATTATTCTACACACAAGGTTAGCTAGTTATCACAAGAGGTATAGTACCTTCTTTTATGACTAGATTGAGCTCCGCACATTGGCAGTGTGTTTCTCTAATAAAACTAAAATACTAGAACAAGCAACTATTTATTACACAATTTGAAAATCTCAAATAAAAACAAAAATAAATAAATATTAATCAATAATAATTCTATTCAGTGTCAGAATCATTTGTGTCACTCCTTAATCTTGTTCTTGTTCCAAAAGCTGCCTCAACATTTTCTGAGAACCTTTGGAGTTTTTTTTTAAATCGGCTAACTGGAGTTGATGTTGAGGGACCCAACTGAGTTTCCTCTGAATCTGTATCATCTGGTTGTCGCTCTTCTATTTCATTTTGCACACTTCCTGATGTAGTTTCATCAATATCCATTGAATCTTCTAGATTTAATGGGGTTACCTTATGTTTGCATCCTAAAAACTATATTGTTAAGTATTTCCACCTGTTTTGACTAAGGAGTTTAAAGATACACATTTTTGTTCTTTGTTGGGTTATACTAGAATTTTTATAATTACAAACATGACAAAATTAAAATTAAAATATAGACATGACATACAATAACAATGCTTGCTTAAGATAGTAATATGAAAGTTAACGAAGATATACTGACCTAGAATGGAGTGGAGCTCTTCAAGAAATGGAGGAATGTCATTATTTCTCTCATGCCCTGTTGTAGTTTGATGTTTAATGTAAGATAAGTAGGTTTTTGCAAATTCGCAAACTTATGACGACACCGCTCTCCTCTTTTGTTCCCAAGATGGAAATTATTTTCCTCTAACTCTTTTGCTGTGTCATTCCACAATTTAAGTTTTCTAGTTTTTTATCGTCAAAGGAACTACTTCCTTTGTCTCTTAAGGACAACAATGAATGAGTTGCTTCATTATCCATTTTCGTCCAAATCATATCGTTAATAGACGTTGGTTGAGTGGTCGAGTCATTTTCATTGTGGGGCATACATTGAAAATCATTCCGAGGTTGATTTTCGGAGTCATTGTGCTCATGTTGAGACCCCAATTGAGACCTAGATAAAATATATTGCTCTGCCGCAGCAACTAAAATTTCATGAAAAAGCTATTAAAATATAAAAAATATGCCACTCTCATACTTGATAAACCTTAAAGCGAAGTATAAGAGGTATCCAGTTCCGATACAGAGCTTATTAGTGAATATGTGCATACCATGTAGAAAAGTCACCTAATATGTAGGTATCTAGAATCAATTTGATTAGTTTTACCTTGCACCCCACCATTTCAATATTCAAATCGCCCAGAAATATCAGGCTTTTCTACAAGGTACTATATACTATGACATATAACAGCTGATTGGTCACGTCACGGATCTTATAACCAAACCGATAACCACCCTCGCTTGAACGGATAGGTAAATACCAATCCAAAATGGTAAATACCGTTTTCATTTGGTTATTCGCTTGTTTGATTTAAGAAATGTAGGTATGTCTTTGAGCTTACCGAACAAACATTCCCACACAGGGGTAGGTTGCATGTGTATGTATGAGGGAGATGGGGCTATATAAAAGGATACTGGTTGTCCTACTTTGACCAGCCAAGAACGGTGACTACAACTATACCTACGAAATCTTGTCAAACACGACATGTCAAGCTTACTAATACTATAGAGTTCGGATAATTGATTTTAGGTTGTCAAACTTGTTGGACTGACCAAATATTGGAAGCTCATATTTAGTATGACTGGAAAATCCGTCCGGAAACAAAAACAACACATTCTGTAGTGTATGAGTATATGCAGTGTTATAGAAAAGTTAATTCTACATCAAAAGGTACTGAAAAAGCAGTAGTGACATTTAAAAATCCGAGATTGTATTTGACGTATGTAACTTTGGTATGAGTCAATTGTATTTTGAGGGAAATGATAGCTACAGTATTATCATAAAGTTAAATCACAAAACCTCTTATTGACATCATTTTTCAAAACCTTTTGTGGGTAAGGCAAGTATAAAAAATTTGCAAATGGACAAAAAACTTGGCAACTTTGATTTCAAACCATTCATGTGCCTATTTAACAAACTGATCGCTAATGGAATGGGGATGAGTCTAGCAATGCAATATTACTCCAAATAAATTCGGCTTAGGACAGGGAAGTCGTGTCCAAACTACGCGAAATAACCTGTATAGCCAACAATAATTTCAGCTAATGGGGCCTATAATCAATTCCCAAATGGAAGCTTTATCATCACTACGACTGATACATAGGCTTAAGCCGGTCACCAGCATAGAAAATACACTTCAAAGATGACATCTTGTTACAAGATCACCCTGTGGGCTTGTTTTCAGCACGGATTAATATATCGGGTTGCCGCAGCTCCTATTGTGCGCCAGAAAACAGTTGAATTCAAATGTATACGAGCCTCATTTGTTTAAATTAGATTATGCCATGCCTAATAGGATGACTAGAATAAAATGATTTATTTTCACCCCGGAGCGAGCGTTCGCATAGTAGTATCGGAAACGTGATGTATATCCGCTTTTGTTGACTTTGTATGTGCAATATCAATCAAAAATTATCACATCACATTGTATATATGTATCATGCAACATCGAGGAAACAAGGTGAGGAAATGATATGAGGGCATGATGTATGGAGGGATTTATGTTGTTTGCGATAGTGCAATTATGCAAAATTAACATTATGTCATTCAAACTCAAAGTCGCCTTCATTTTAGAATAATGGGGGTTTACAGAATCTGTTTTGAAATTTTAAATAACTGCCACTGATGATATGCTAAATTAATTGTACATTTTAATCATAATTCACATTGAAATACAAGGCAAGCAAGTACCTAAACTTCGAACTTGTATTACAATTTTTGAGACTCTGTAAGTAAAACTGTTTCAATTACTGAGCAGTGGTGTGAGGCGACTCATTAATGCGTTTTGAGTTATTTGCTTATTATTGCAAGTAGTTGCTGTTATTACCTGCCTGAAGTTGGAATTATCTTTCATGATGCAAGCTTATATGAAGAATGCGGCACCAATGTATGCTAAGGGTGTACACAACTGCCTTTAACACAAAGTGACTTTTTTTCATATATTTCAGCAACATGAAAGTATAAATAAATGCTTCGAACAAAATGCTATTAAAGAAAAAATATAAAGTTTAACTTCTCAAAGCTTGCAATGTTTGAATATTCATCTGAAGGCGGCAGAACTTTATGGGCAAAAAGACCTTAAAAATAAATATTACTTTGCCTATATTTTCTGAGGTTTCAGACGCCACTGGGCAATTTGGGATGCTTTTTGTATGGGTTGAACTCGCGACAGCATTAGCACGTTTTCCATAAATTATCGGGCACAAGTCATATGGCATTCAAACATTAGTCAACTTTAAAAAGCGTTTGTATAGTGACAATTCGGCTCGTATTGTGCTCATCAGAAGTTCCACTATTCTACAAAATCTAACTCGCCTTTAATGTGCTCAGGGAATGATATAGTAAAAATCACATGAACATATATAATATACAGGGTTAGTAGAAAAAAAAGGAACTGTAGATTATCTCAGCAACCGTCAAATATAAATGAAAAAAATTTTGCGCGAAGAGGTAACTCGACATGAAGAATTTAAGAATTATATTTGCAAGGTTGCCAAGTTTATAGTTTTCTATCTAGGTTAATGAATTTTAAAATTTTAAATAGACTACCCTAATTTTTATTATTGTAATCAATTGCCTTTATCAACTTTGGTATGACATGATATTATTGTTATTTTAATCCTGTCGAGTTCGGAGATATGGCATCATGCTTGTTTCGAAATTAATGCAAAAACGACAAGGTATGGTCAATTATATCGAAAACGATCCAACCGATATTCGTCAAAGTAGGTACAGGGGAGTAACTGTACATTCTAAATTCATCAATTGAATTTGCGATGTTTCCAAGGTTCTATTTAAAAAAAGTCAAGGAAAAGGAATAAGGAAATTTAATTATCAAACAAGTAAATATTCGTGCAAAATAATAACATGATATTAAAAAATAACAAAATACCTATCTACTTAATCAGGTGCTCAAACTGGCTGCCATCGTTGGCCAAACAATATTCGAGGCGATCGTAAAATTCTGCCAAAGAATTCGAGGAGTCTGGAGTAATTTGTGCGGCTTCATCCAAAATCTTTTACCTGACTTCTTCTAAATCGTTGGGCCGATCTTTATAAGCTCTGCACTTCAGAAAACCCCAAAAGAAGAAATCTAATGGGCTTATATCTGGGCAACGAGGTAGCCATTCCCGAGTGCCATGTCTTTCAATCAATCCTCCTGGAAGTTGGTTATTTAAAAACCCGATGACACCTCTGGAGGAATGAGCTGGAGTTCCATCATGCTGATACCAAATTTCGTCCATAGTTACATTTAAATTTCTAATTGCTGGTACTATACGTTGTCTAAGGTGATCAAGACATTTTTGTTCCGTCAAATTGCCATCTATGAAAAATGGACCAATGACATGGTTGCCCAAAATTCCCGCCCAAACATTAACTTTTTCCGGGTATTGAGTGTGAGAATTTTCTCTACTCCAAAATCTGCGGCGGTGCCGATTCAGTTATTGTCCATTTAATCAGAAGGTGGCTTCATCGCTGAACAAAAATTTTTGTGGAAATTGGGGTTGCTGTTTATCATTTCCATCATAGTTTCTGCACACTGATCTCGACGGTCTGGATCATCTTCTTGCTGTTGGTGGAGGTTAATTATTTTGTAGGGTTTGAGTTTTTCACAGGCCAAGGTATTTCTGACCGATTTCAGACTTATTCGCGAATTAAGGGGTAATTGTGTGGTACTTGTCCTAGAGTTTTCTTCGAGTTGTAAAAGCACATTTAACTTATTTGCATCACTAGTAGCAGTTTCCGGTCTCCCTGATCCAGGTTTTCTTTTCACTCCGCCGCTTCCAAGGAAGTTTCTTACTGTCCTGCAGATGGTAGATTTTTTAGTTTGTTTTTCGAGATAGAGCGCATTAAACAAATTGCACACTTCTTGAAAAGATCCTTGTTTATCTTCATGTTCCCGAAAAATAAGAATTTCAATTCGCTGTTTTTCGTTAAGTACAAATGCCATAATAACGCCCGCAAGATTTGTCACTTTTGAATTGTTTTGACATTTCTAATTGTTATGGTTCTGAAATGTCCATGACATTGCAAACAAATGGATAACACGCCTTCTTGTTTATTTTGGAAAACAAACGAACGGATCGTTTCTTACTAAGATGCAAGTGTAAGGAATGAAACAAAGCGTGCTGTAACAAATTACAGCCAGATGTTACGTAACACACATAATATTCGATCCATTGGAGTTACCATGCCTTACAATGATTGTCTCACATTCTAACACCGGTTCATAATAATGTTCTACTGAATTCTGAATTGACTGAGCTATAAACACCGAACTACAAACAGCAGGTTACATGTTTATAAATTCGTCTTGAGTTGCAACATATAGGCCACCTTAAAAGGGATGCAATGTTACATGCACAGCTCTATGTCAACATTTTCTCATTCCGATTAATAAAAGCCTTTATTGAAGTATCAATAGGACCAACTAAATCAACGTTAATTTATTATCTGATGAAATCGATTTTGTTTGTTTAACGAATAGGGCCGAATAAATGCATCAATACAGCCGATACAAGCCGGGTTTTTGCATGCGCGCAGCATTGTTGCTCGCCATTTACATGCCATTATGAGCCGACAGCTTTGCCAGTTTTCATATTTAATTAATCTATATGATAGAATTGATTCGCTGACTTTGTTTAACTGGCACAGGATTTCAATTAGTACAACAACGGAGTAGATAAATGTGGTGGTGGATGTCTACGTACTATGAGCGCGATCATTTTTGATATACCGGAAAGAGATGGTGTATGAGTATGATTTAAAAAGTTATATCTCAAAGCAAACTGTTAGGTACGCTAATTTACATATCCTCCAAAATGTCTTGGAGTCATTTTTACCAGAGATTAATGTGGAACTCTCACATCAACAAAACAGCAGATAAAGCTACAACAGCCCTGGGAAGGTGCAGACAGATAAGTGGGAGAAATTGGGGGTTAAACTCAAAATTGATTATGTGGTTATACACAAGGGTGGTAAGACGCATGATAACCTATGGATCAGTGACATGTTGGACAAATACTACACAGTCGGGAGCGCTAAGTCTCTTAAGAGGCGTACAGAGACTAGCTTGCTTGAGCGCCACGGCCAATGCAGCGTTGGAGGTCCTTCTCAACCTACCACCATTACACATATCACATATATCATCATTACACAGGACACGAAGGGCATAAAGGAAATGAAAATGCAGATGAGCTAGACCGACAGTGTGCGGCCAATCACCTTATAAGTCCAGAGCCTTTTTGTGGCTTGTCAAGAATACGCACTAAACAGTCCACACGAAGTTGGACCAAGAAGTCCCTAAAATAGTGTAATCGCCAATCGGGGCAGAGGCAATGGGCAAAGAGTTCACCAAAGATCGAAGGCTCGCATTTTCAGAGGACCTACTCGCATTCGTTAAGACAGCCATAAAAACCATAGTGGGTCTCCTGACAGGACACTGTCGTCTAAATCGACATATTGGTCTGGCACATGCCGTTTCTGCAGACAGCATGAGGAAACTTTAGTGCATCTCCTGTGTAGCTGTGAAGGCCTGGCAAGGCTATGATTTAAGATACTAGGAACCACAGGTCCAACAGCAGAAAGCTATATACAAGGTCCTGTTTCAAGACTGTATAGTTTGATTGAATAACAAGGATGGACACAGTGCTTTAGAACGTATATATTGGGGTCAAAATAGATCGATTTGGGTTACAGTGGCGTTAAGTTTAGCAAGCTAACCCCTTTGTTCTGCAATCTGTAATCTGTAGGGACGCAGGTGTCTATTTAGGCTGTAACGGTCCGCGAAAATTGCCACCAAAAAGTTGAGTCCCTTGTGACTGTTTATCCAGAGCACCACCTGCTAGCCTGGGGTATGTTGAAGCGGCCAGTCTAAGCTTGGGTCCCATGCGTAACCTGTATAGCCACCAATCTCATTAGATGATCAGTTCTCTCATTACCTGTCGTTCCATCATAACCGCTGGGTCATTATGTAGACAGAAAGAAAGCTGGTTGTGTAATAGAGTAGCAAGATCGCTTCTGCATGATTGTCTTCTGATTATATTAGCCTCTATGTGTATAAAATCGGTAATATTTGCTATGTATCGGAATTAGTATTGAATATGCTGCCCATGACGTATCTCCAACTACCACGAAGGCCTAAGGCCCAAGCACCCATTGGGTACCGTGGGGCTATAGGGGGATACATGGGAAAGGGGGGACGCCACACGGACTCTGGAGAGGGAACACGTGTGCATGCAACATGCACACATTCTGGCTCCGCCTACGAGAACCGCCGGGTGGTACCTCCGCGTTCGACAGTCAGAGACCATCTACCGCCTATGGACAATCACAACATCCATAGCCAAGAGAAAAATTTCTCCTGGGACGGGACTCGAACCCGCACAGCGCACGGCGACTGATCAGGAGACCGAAGAGTCTACTACTGCGGCCACCGCTGCTGCCTAGATCTCTATTAGCTGTGCCAGATGGGTACATTATATGTTGTCCTTTCTGAAGAGAGGTAATAATCCAAGCTATATCTAATGCTTTTCTCAAGATAAATATATTCACTTACTTTCAAAGCCGCATCACATAAAAAATAGGAAATCACACCAAACGTTTTAGATCACTTTCAGGCGTCGAGCTGTATTTTCTTTTTGACTTCGCAAAAGCAATTTGTATAAAATTTAAATGACTGGAAATGAAAAATAACGTAAAATTTAATAACTTTTTCACGTTTCAGGAATACTCCTCGGAAAAGTTTGCATACGCAATTTCCAGCACCAGTGAGAAAAAGTGGATGCGCTACTAATTTCTAACTTTGCATACATCTCAAGGTAGTATATCTGATGGAAGAAACCAAGGGAATTATCGTGAATACAGCACACAAATCCTCACTAAGCACCTGTGCACTGCCTTTTTGCCCATCTCCTTTCAATAATGCCTTCTCTGAAAATCATATTACATCACATCAGAGCCAAATCCTGATAGCTTGGGCATCACGACGTTAAGGCAATACGTACAGTTTTATTCAACGAGTGTACATCACGTATACAGCTAGTTCCAAGTTCACGTCTTATAGAAAAACCCACATTGTCACAAAAAAACCACATTATGTCAAAAACACCTTCACAATGTCACTTTTGAAGATACGTAATACCCCTACTGGCACGTAATGAATTTGTATTTTTACAGTGGGACTACCAGAGTATTCGTATATCATCCCTTTAGTGCCTATTTTAGAAACTGAATTTAGATAGGTTGGACTACTGGTATAATGTACTGTACTTTGAGGTAGTGTGTGCTTGGAATGCCGTTGAATGAACAGCTGAAGTGAGAATGGGAGGGGGTGGTTTACATGTCCCACGATACTGCACAACTTATAGACCTGAGCGTTTAGGGGGTCATATTCATATCCAACTCTCCTACCCTATCATAAGGATACACTTTCTGGAATGCTTTATTAATATTCTTTATTTTAGACAAAACATGCTCTATACTACTTGTAGGCTAGCCTGATTTGCCTAGGTTCTTGAGCCTCAAGAGGATAAACCCCCACTTCACCACCTGGGATTGGAGTTTCCAAAATTACTGGGAAGTGCCTATTTACATTATAATAAAAAACAGATATACGAAACCCATAACTGTATCTCTAAATTAAAGTGATAGTAGTATCCCCTTGGTGACTTTGACCCCATTTTCCAGCCCCTTCAAACTTTGTTTTCGCAACAATGGTTATCCTAGGTCCGTCTCCAAAATTTGTCAAAATCGGTTTAGCAGTATTGGCGTGAAAACGGAACATGCGTAGATACAAACTTTTGCAACCATAAAAAACGCAGTGAATGCACGATGCGATTGCTTCCGCGTCAATCACCTCATGTCAACATCCACCAAGCCATTTGGAGTGTAGCCCGTGAAATACAATTTTCAAAGTTATTTCTCCGTTATACTAGACTCTAATCTACCTCTGTACCAGTCATTTTGACATGGTTGGGAATAAACATCCACACTTCCTTCAGGTATATTTCCTCTTTTCTCGAGTAGCTGGTAGAACTGTTAGCAGCTCTCATAACTAACGTGCTCTATAGGAAACGCTACCCATCTCCTGTACTGTCTAGTGAGAAAGTGTTCTCTTCCATAATACTTTCCATTTACCTCTTTCGTACTGCTAATATTCACACTCCACCAGCATGTCGACTGGAACATCTGGCACGATCGCCCATGAAGCCATTTCACAGAGAAATCAGATGAGTTTTTACTCAATTATAGGCTACAACTTCTTTCTGCATTAAGCAGGAAGTATTAAGCTGGCTACATATACTTGTAAAATGGTAATGTTTTTCTTGACCTTAACAACCGGAAATTATAAGCCATCCATAAAAAGCAAAGTAAATCCCTTTTACAAACATCTCTCAGATTAGATCAATTACAATATAATGACCCTTTTATCGTAATTGAGCTGCAAATTGTCATACAAGGTGGTCTGTGGTAGGTACAGTTACTTTGGATGCGATCTCGATAAGTTCCAACTTATGCGCTACAATTTAGTAGTAGTAGTAGTAGTAGCAGAGCTGAGCGTTATCGTTAGTAAGTTGCGTGACTTCATCCACAAACAAATAGATTTGTTGAAGTGTCTTCGAAGAATTAAACGTATTTTCCGAGGTAGCTTTGAGGATTTCGAAAGCTCGTCTAGGAGTAAGAAAGTTAGGAGGTTCTACTGTTACTGTAAGACGTAGTAGAAAAGTTTTAGATGTAATCAAATTTTAAAACTACAAAACATCCGTTGACAGAATGAGATAAAGTTTGCATGTTTAGGTTCCGTCAGAGTTGGCTTTAAATGCCAATTTTGTATATTTCACTACTTAAGCTACAGCTATAAATATCCTAAAGATATTTGAGCTTTATTTCGTACAGTGCTAGTTTTATAGAATCATCTGAGTCCTGAATTTAAAAACATTTACTTACGTTGCTTCAAGAAAGCTGTGAAATCTGCTTGGATTCATAATTTAAATATGCTGCTCTCATCGTTTTTGTTAATTTGTTTCTTCACCTTTATTCCAACTAGCAAAGTAGTGGTATAAGCTTTTGGTAAAAGAACCATTCAGCCATAAAAGCTCTCTATTGTTGTTGCCTGAAGACCAAAATGCTGGCTTAATGTTGCGTGGAATGCAAATTTGCTTTCTGCAACATATTTGCTTTAAAATGAGGTGTTTAAGATATTCATGGAAGCTGGGTTGCCCAATTAAGACGGTGAATTTACGAAAAACTGAGGAAAATTGATCAGAATCCTGTCCAGGATTTCATGAGAGACATTCGAACAGTTCAGAATAGGCCACTACATATAATTCGATAGTATATTTTAGTTAAGTATTGAGTTGTAATTTATGATAACTAGTTCGTGTTCAAATAAATTTCTTTATAAAAAAATCCAAAACCTTTAGGACAAACGTTATTCACCATATACCAACCATGGAGTCAATGAAGCTCTGGTATGGTCTCACATTTCAGGTCTAGATTGAGTAAATAGTATTGCTAATTTGCAGACATTTTATAGTAAACGAACAACATTAAATAAATTGCTATGATATTTTTATGTTGAATAGTTGTACGAGTAGGTCGGCTTTACTAAGAAGTAGAGTTGACTATACATATATTGAGATCAAATTGATAACAACGAAACATCTAATGCTAGGCTTGTTTCAAGTATATGCCGGAAACCGGCCCAGCCTGAAGTATTATACTTCAATTATCCTTGTCTTTTAAAACCATGATATTTCTACCGTTACCCTAATAAATCATCAGACGCAACCGAAATATTATCAGATCGACATTACCTATTTTCAGAACAACATTTGCCTAACGGTAATATGGTGTGAACTTTGATCCTAGACTTTTTGTGTGTGGACACATCAACACTATCAAAACTTTGCGGTAGGCTCTTGAGCTAGTATGAGCCGCTGAACCTACGCGTATGCGTACTCTTGATTGGAAATTGGCTTGCAGATCTCATTAAAAAGTAAAGCACATCTAGGCGTAATGTACCGTGAAATCGGCTAGCATTATATAATTCTGTCGGATTCTTGTTATGGTGCGCCAGTTTTAATATAAACGAAGGAAAATATGTGCAATTCATGGTAAGACGCACACGCTCAGTGGGAGTCGCTGATTCTATTTTCTCGGTGCATATAATTTCACCGCATACGTTTTAATATAGGTTGTTTATAGATATGGAAGCTATCAGGGCCGGATCAGCATGCTTGCACGTAAAGCGTATAAAAGTGTGGTGCTCGAGTTATAGCAGGTTTAGAGAGCAATATCCGTTCCATTTTCGTCTTTTCATTCTCTCTACTAAGATGTTCTATCAATACGTGTGCATTTTCTAACTGCTTTCAACTTTTAGTTTCCTAGACTTCGTGGCCATTTGGATAAGAGAGAACAAATGTGCACGTTTTCAGGAACGTCTGACTCTCTCAAAGCGATAAGCAAACTAGTGGTCTCCAAACTAATGCAAGTTATAGGCGCCGACCATTAAAACGCTAAACTTCTACTAGAGCCATTTGAAAGGTCTACGTATTTACTGTGAGAAATACACTATAAATGGCATACTTATTTATTGTGAGAAATAAAATTTTAAAGAAGTAGTACCTCAAGGGCACAATTAAAATGAGCGCAAAAGTTAAATCTTGGATGCAGTTGTCAAACCTGAAGAAAATATCACATTTGGAAACCTGCTAGCATGGCTACAAAAATATCCAGCTTTACTTCATCGAAACAGGATTGATATCATCATTTATTTTTTATTTTTTGAGAAATTCTAAACTCGTGGTTTATAATGATTATTAGCATCGTTTTTATGTGTAATAATATTACAAGAGAGATATTTAGATTCTATATCTACTCTAACTAAGCCCCTTAACAATACAAGATGAATAAAAAAACAGCATGTGTTGAAAATCAATACTTGTCTATAATAACGACAATAATAAAGCATAAAGAAAACATAAGGTCGGTTAACACTTATTGGCTACAACAGATTTCGCTGCGTTATAATTTAGTATCTTTCAGACTACGATCTAAGAAGTTATATAATTTTATCGCGTCGTCAATATATGTATTCTGAAATAGAGACGCCATATGTTGTGGCCTGGAATTGAAAAAGTATCCCTATATCTATTAAAGCTATGCATGTGTATGAATTTGGTTACTAAATATGACGGTGTTTTTCAATAAAGAACCCTGTGAGTCAGACTGAGGAGCAACTATTTATACACTTTATCATTTTTCATCCAGTTAATGGCCTTCGATATATAATCATATTCTCTGAGGTCATTTACAAGTCTGCAATATGTATTTATATTACTTTTATTACGATTTTTTTGTTATAATATCTAAACGGGGATAGTAAACCACTGAGTGATACGATATTTTTGAAAAGAAGATTGATTCACGTAATTGCTTTCTCGCTGATTTATGTATAGCCAGCCTTATTTGCAAATAAAGCTCTGAGATCAGCTTATCACTGAGAAATTAGATGGTTTAGGTGTACAACAGATTTCAAGTCAACATTTATTGTAATACCTACTTTATTACCTATTAAACTTATGTTTATGTCATTTTTTAAGCATAGTATTTCATTTTTGTTTTATGTGCGTATATGTACTAAAATATTGATCTTTAAGGGTTTAAACTGATATTATCACTACTACGAAACTTTTCAATTTGGAACGTTATTCTTCGCTCTTTCCAAGTCATTACTCCAAAATGAATAGGAGATATTAATATCGTCGGGAAAAAATTTTACTTCTCTTTCCAAACTTGAGATATGTAATAATCGTCCTAAGGCAGATCCCTGTGGTACAGCAGAACAATGTTCTGATGTTCAATGTAGGTTTGAATAAAGGAAAGAGGTTTTTTAGACAATCCATGATAACTACATTTAGGCACAAGAAGTGAATGACTAATGCTTTAGTAAAGTCAAAAAGTATGAGAGCTACTGCTTTTTGGTTGTCAAGCCGTTGCTAGTCATGTTAGTACGTTCTATGTTCGCTAATATAACTTTATGGAACAAAAAGTACCACCAATTAGAAACGACTAATTGCTTACATGATAAGAAAAACACACAAGTCTAAACGACGGCACGACAGATTAGCGAGTCATTAAAACATATTCGTATCTTGAAACTAATAATCACTATAATATGTCAAAGTAATAAATACGCCTCATCATTTATGGTGTTAGCTATCCTGGAATAGCAATCAGGAGTAAGAGTTTAAAATATTTCAAACAATATCAAACATTGAAACTGCTTCTCGTATGATCCTACTCAAAACGAAAAGTACTTTTATTCTTGCGACTATTTGAATTTTCAGTTTTTGTACCTACTTCAATAAGGTTCATGAAAATATCAATGATCTGAGAAAACATTTCCTTCTGTTTTAGCATATCTGACTATTGTCAGTACCTATCTGTCAGAATTAGCATCAATGTTGGAAGGAACGATGTATCTGAAGCCCTCGTCGAGGCCTTCATATCCAGAGTGGCAGATCATTATGAAATAGAGAAGCAAAATGTGCGATTGTTACTGGATTCTATCAACGTCTACTCAACATCTTGATGACTATCGGGAACTTCTGACGATACGATATATCATCATGAACACTTATTTTACTAGGCGAAAAGAATCCATCACGTGATTAAATTTTATAATAAGACTACCAAGTTCAACAATAAAAATGTAAGTATACCAGGCAGTTACCATTTTATTTAATATAATATCTGATATCTCATGAGGAGATTGCGTTTTAATTTCATACTGATGAGGTTTTTAGTGTTCCCACCATTAATGCCACTTTTAGGCCTAACTTGATGGTCGTTAGATTTTCAATGATATGACACTAATTTGTAGTAAAATTAAGGAAGTTAATGTTTCTAGTTGTAATTTAACAGAATTGCATAGAAATCTCGTTAATTGCTCAGTCAATCTCGTCTTAGACATCTGTACGCTGTTGCTTATTTTCCTCAGATAACATCTATGTCGTTTTCCATAAGCATCGTTAGGCCATCAGATACTCATTGCCTCATTCATGCCTCTCCCATTGTTCAACACCTGTCAAACGACTTGTACTATTAATAATTAAAATAGGACAACAATTAACTTAGCTACAAGTTGTTGGTGAATAGTCATTAAGTTCTCATTTTTCCTGGTCACCATTTATTAAGGCACGCTTACAC